AAGTCCAGAGATGAATGCTATGAAGGCTGAACTGCATCGTGGTTCAATTTCCCGTTCCCAGGTCCTCACTAGAGAAAGAGGGGCACGCGGACGACAGCGGGGAAGACGTCAGGGCATACGGAGGACTCGGCAGGGCGGGAACTCCGGACCGCGGAAGACCCCCTGCAGCCCTGCGTCCCCCCAGCCCGGGGCTCCCCCGCATCCTCATTCAGCCTCAGCACAGCCGGTGGAGGACGAAATGGAGGGTTTGAGCGGGAAAGAAGAGTGAGCTCCGGGGAGAACTGTGGAGTCCACTATTTTACACAATCAGGCAATCTAGGAGGACATGAGAGCTACAGATTTTGAAGGTTATCTGACCCAGGAGGGCAGGCAGAATTGAAGACTGTGGGGACACGCAGGAGACTCCGCGTTCAGGGCCCGGCTGGGGGAGACCAGGGGGCTGGAGGCTGGCAGCTCTGGGGGCTGATTAATGCCAACCAGGACCTAACACGGTCCCTGCCACATTACGTTCAAGGGTGTAGGTGGGGCAGGCACCTTGCACTGCAGGAAGTGCCACCCCGAGCACCGCAGACTCCAAGGAGTGCACAGCTTGAGTCACGTGGAGGAAGTCAGCCTCACTGTCCTCTTCCCTAAAAGCCACCGAGCTCCTTTTCTGGATCTACTCTTCCCTCACTTAGCAGGAAGAGGGCCAGCTCTCAGCCACATCTGACACCGGACGAGGAACAAAGCGGCCCTCAACCGCGGCCCCTGCGGAGCGACGAGAGACGGATGGCTTATTTACCAAGCACTTTAAAAACACTTTGGTGCTATTTGGACAAATTGTGGATCGATGATAATTGTAATGACAGTCCCATCCAGAAGAAAAATTTTAATATTCAGAGGCTTTTGGTCATAGGAACTTAATAAAATTAAAAAAAAAATTCAATCGTGAGAAAATATACAGAACATAAAGTGTACCGTCTTAACCATTTTTAAGTGTACAGTTGGGTAGTGCTAAGTGCGTACAAATTGTTGTGTATCCAATCTACGAAAGTTTTCACCTTGCAAAACCGAAGCTCTATACTCACTACAGGACTTCACGTCCTCCCTCCCCCACCCCTGGCAGCCAGCATCCTACTTCCTGTCTGTGCATCTGACTCCTCTAGGGATTTCGCATAAGTGGAACCGTACAGTTATTTGTCTTTCTGTGACTGGCTTGCGTTCCTCAGTATAAGGTTCATAGAAACGTTCATACACTCTTAAATTTCAGTGTATATTCCTACTTCTGTTGCAGACACATGTGATAGGTAAAAGAGCGTTTTGGCACCTTAGATATTTTCATAGATGTAGAATAGGTATTTATCCATTTTGCATGCGTTGCATTCAGTCCTTTGAGCATTTCTGCCCATCAAATGCAACTTACGTGCTTTCACGAACAAATTTAAGTTCAGGAGAATCGGAGCTTGTGCGATTATGAGTTTTACAATATCATCGATGGTCAGATAGTAGCACATACAAAACTGCTTTTTTTTTTTTTTAACAAAAGAAACCTTTTATTTTAGAAGCGTCTTAGATTTACAGAACACTCGCAAAGACGGTACAGATTTTCCACGATGCCAAGTTCCCCTCTCAGAGTGCCTGCCTGCCTTCTTGAAGAGTGTTCTATCCTTGAACATGAAATGCACGTATTGAGTGCCTACTGTATACAGGGTACGATTCTAGTTTAGAGATACAGAACACAAAAGACAAGGTCCCTTTCCTCCTGAATCTCTCAGGCCCGCAGGAGGGATGGACAATAGACAAGGACACAAACAGAGTGACAGGAGAATAGGTGACTGGGGGGGTGGGAGCGGGGCTGCTTTAGGTGGGGAGGTGGGCTCCGAGCTGAGGCCTGAAAGCTCTTAGCCAGGTGAGACTCCACAGCAAGAGTCCAGGCAGAGAAAGGAGGAGGAGCAAAGACACTGAGGCAGGAGAGACGGGGGGTGGGGGTGGGGCTGGAGGGCTGACTGCGAGGGAGGACGTGGGATGGGAAAAGGCCTGAGAGGGCGGGGGCGCATCACGCGGGGCTCTGAGGTCAGAGTCAAGAAGGTGGATTTGTGCCTACGGGCTTTTGGAAGCCATGACGGGTTCACGGCAGGACCAGCATGATATACGGTTTGTTGCGAAAAGGCCACGTGTCTCTGACGTGGGGAGAGCGGATCCGAGGATGAGAGTGGATGCATGGGACCCCTGAGGGGCTGCTGTGGTCATCCACACGACAGGTGATAGATACAGAGAGAAGGGTCTAGAACGACGTATTGTGGGAGGGAGCCAGGGAAGACAAGAGGCTGCTGCGGGAGAGGAAGGAGGCCAGCCAGCCGGGAGACTGAGCTCCAGACGGCCGCGTCCAGCGAGTGGTAAATCCTGCCACGTCCAGCGCGGCTCTGGAGAACATACCTGAGTGGGAACGGTGGGAGACGAAGAAAAGAAAGAAGACAGAAAGCTGGGGTCGGGAGGTCCACTGTCCACTGATGGTGGAACGATGGCGGTTTTATTTTTGCGGACATTTGATGCTAACGCTGCTTCACTGCTCTCCAGCTGCTTTTACACAGGAGCGTACGATTGCTGGCTAGGATAAGATTATCCTCACCCAACCCACACCTGCTATGATCCTTTGCAGTTCTGTCTGCTGGAGGCTATGAGTGTACGCCCTGCCTTGGAGCTACACTGCATTGTTCCCCCCATCAGTTCGCACTTCCCCAGATTGCAAGGACAAGGACCTTGTCAGTTTACAATCCGCTCTGCACACCAGACCAACACGGGAGTCCTTCCAAAAGGGAGGCGTCAGCGGCTGATGGTAAATGCACAGAGTGGACATAGAGGATGAAGAGCGAATGCTTACTTAGCGGGGCCTGATTTGGTGGGGAGGGTCTTCACACTTTTAGATCGACATTGAAACTTTTCATCCTAAGTTTAAATGGTGACAAAGGACGCGATTTCCTGTCTATTGTAAGCACGGACATTTGATGCTAACGCTGCTTCACTGCTCTCCGAGGCATGCTCAATGGAATCTGAACAACACGGCAATTTACCTGCCAACATCCATTAACGAAACACGCGAACGAGTCAGATAGGTACGATCTCTTTTTTTGTACTTGGATGCCTATTCCTGTTGCCTTTCTCCATCAGATGTCACCCCAATGAAGTGCACTTTCTTTCATTGATCATCCTCTTACTTCTCCGCAACAAAGATAAGAATATGCTACCAATTAAAATTTAATGTGAAACTCCTTCTGGTGAGCTCTAAGTGTGAAAACATTTGGATTATTGCATTATTACACAATTCATCAACACGACATAGGTGTGTGGCAAAATTTTTAAATGATTATTAAACCAAGAATGAAGATTTTATGGAAAATGCATCTCAATGAGACATGTGGGGTTCTCTCTCGTTTCCTTTTCCACTTATGTCATATAGCCACGGTGGGAAATTACTGAGTGACCTTCCTTCTTCCTTGGGGGCCAGAGGTGACAAAGAGGAGCTGAGAAAAGAGCCCTGTAGGAGGCTGGGGCCGCTGGGATCTATCTTGCTCAGGTTAGGAGGAGGTTGAGTTCTCAGCATTGAAACCCTTACAGTGATCCCCTCGCGTGCCCTTGGGACGTCATCTGCCTCTACAGCTCATGTACCCCAGGTTGAAGATGGCCGACCTAGGACAAAACAAGGCCCACCAAAAGGGCCACCTCCCCCAAAAACGTTGGGGCTCTGAGCACCTCTCCTAGGGCAGTCCTGACAAGCTTTCTCCACCAGGGTTGGCGTGAGCAGGTGGCTGGCCTGGCTGCTGGGTTTCATTATCTGTCTCACCTCATCTGCTCTCCTGCTGGTTCTGAGGACAGAGGCTGCCTCGGGCATGCAGTTGGGCCAGTCCATTCTGGTCCTTGGAGCCCAGCCATGAGAGACAAAGGAGCGGCCCTTGGCCATTTTGTAATATGGGCCAGGAGAGTGTGTGACAAGAACAGGAGGCTGGGATCATAAAAATCGCAGAACCTGGCTCATTCCCTGTCTTCCTAGCTGAGTGGCTCAGGACACATGAACCTCAGCTTCCCCATCTGTAAAATGGGGATCACGACAGTCTATTCTTCTTGGAGATGTTGGGGGTATCGATGAGCCGATGCATGCAGAGCCCTTACTGCTGCAGACAGAGGTCAGGAAGACCATCTGCTAGGACTGTCACCTCTTCTGACCCTCTCGAGAACCCTGTGAGGCTCACGGATCAGGCCACTAGGTTTTCAAAGGAAATGATTGTATGCGGTGCTGGCAGGATTCCAAGTTTAGCTTTGGAATTACAAAAGCTCGCTAACTGGCATTTCTGACTTGAGTGATGACGCAGAATACGATGCCGGAGTCCTCGTCCCCCCTTCCCTCCTCCTGCTGCTTCTCCAGAATGCTCCCCAGCTCCCCAACCACAGTGGCCCACCCCGGGTACTGTTTCTACTCCCAGAATAACTCGCAGATGCCTTGCCCTGCCTCCCACTGCCTCTCCCCCGTTCAGGCTGCCGTCTTCTCTCTTCTAGGGTCTCAGCCTTGGATACATTCTCCCCACCATAGTCTTGGCCACTCCAACCTCAGTATAAGTCCCGAGTGGTCTGGACGATCACTGCCGAAAGGCCTTTCCATGGCTCCTTCTGGTTCTAGAAAGCCCTCTCTCCCTGGCATGACTGGAAAGATCTGAAGACTTGGCCCCTGCCCATCATCTCAGTCCTCCCATCTTCACACCTCAGACGCCTGAGCAACCATGTAGGGTCTCCTGCGTGCCCAGCTCTCACCTCAGTCCATTGCACATACTGTCCCCTCCCTGGAGTGTTCAGCCTGATGGCCTTCACCCTCTCCTCCTCGCTCGCCCCAGTCCTCTGGGGTACATTCTCCCCAGAGGATGTCACTCACTCTTCAGGTCGAAACTGAGATATGGAGTAGGAGAGCCTTCCCCGACCTGCAGATTAGGTGAGGTGTCTCCTCTGAGGTCCCATGTCACAGCACGGCCACCATGTCCGTAAGTTGTCTGCTTGCCCACTTCGCCTCCCTCACTAGACTGAGAGCTCTGTGAGGGGAAGGACAGTGTCTGCTCTGGTCCCTGCTGTATCCCCAGCATATAGCACCGGATCTGAGACCAACAGTGTTTATTAAATGTTGATAGATTGGCAGATGAACCAATTTCGGCAAAGCCTGGGCCTACATTACCTGGACTGCTGCTACAGCCTCCTCGCTGAACCCAGGGTGATCTCTGATCTGACCACGGTGCTCCCTGTGCATCGCCCTCTGTGGCTCCCTATTACCCGCCAGAACAGAAGCCAAACTCTTTATAGCAGTTGCAAGCCTTCCTCTTCCAGTGTCTGACCGGCTCTCCACCACCGAAATACTTTCAGTCCCCCAAATGGCACATTCTGCATATTCTGTTTTATGTGTAGAACGTTCTACTCCTCACTTTTTGCCTGGCTAACTCTGGTTCTCAGTTCGGACAAAAGCCTTCCCAGCTCGAGCCCCGGCGCCTCTCCCACCGCTCACTACTGGCCGCCGCTCACTGCCTTCTCCGCGGCCTTGAGCTGGAGAGGGCGGGGGCCAAGTCCCTCGCCTTCGCTTCGGTCTTCCCGGCACCCGGCAAGGGGCCTGCCCCGTGCTGAATGGAAGACGGGCTCCTGGCTCTGTGCACCCCTGGGCACGCCTGTCTTGGTGTATCCCCGGTGCCGGGCCTGGGGCAGGGCACCCAGAGCGCCCAACAAGCGCTGCGGGAAGGCGGGCGGGTGCGGGGACCGGAGAAATGCTCACGACAGCTTCAGGGAAGGGAGGGGCGGGGATGACCAAGCCAGGTGTGGGATCTCGGAGAAGCTCCTAGGAAAACCAAACCGACAAGGCTACGCGCGGGCTTAGACGGCAGCGGAGTCCCTTGGCCACGTCTCCTGCCACTCACGAGGACGCCTGCGCCGTCGGGGGGCGGGCGGGGCCGCGGAC